AGATGCATACTAGGGACACGGTGTTTTGTCTATGTATCCACACATGTATCAAGTTTCCGGTTAATACAATTTTAGCATGAATAATAGACATTTATCATGATATAAGGAAATATAAAATAACAACTTTATTATTGCCTCTAGGGCATATTTCCTTAAGTTAACCAGTTTTAAGAAATTGTACTAGCTACCTACGTCCACAACATAGGTGATAATTCTTGATGCTAGATAATGTTTCGTTGTGTGTGAAAGAAGAGGTTTAATTAAAAATCTCATCCCCCACACTAAACTTCGTCAAATACACGTGACCCCTAGAAGATCGTTCATCTTCATCACACTCTTGTGTATGCGATAGTTCACTATTCTTGACTATGATGAAGCACAAGGAACTGTTAGCAGATCATCGACAGCCAGAGCCGAGCGATTGCCAGAACCTTGTGAAAAGTGATACCATGCCGTCAATGAACTAAACCAAAGCAACACTCAAGGGAAGCATAACAAGGACATCAACCCTCACATCCACATGTGAGCCAGATCACAACCTGCACCTACTCATAAAATCACTCATGATGCCACCATTGGGAAACATAGTAGATAATCAAAAAAATCGCAACTACGCACACTCAATATCAATATGAAGATGCATAACGGGTTGTGATCACGATCATTACCGTCACCGACTTATAGCGGAAGAAGAACGTGTAGGTGTATATCGTACTTGGAGTCCCTCAAACCACCGATGAACGATCCCACAAACCGCCCACGAACAACCCCTCGAACCGAAGACCGGAAGCAAGGCCTCTCTACTTGGTTCCAAGCGTGCATCCTTCGTAATCCGGCAGCGCTTCGCCGTTCAGAGTTAACCGTCGCGGGAGAATTAGTGGGAGGAGATTAGAACCACACTGGACTTCTCATTATGAAGATTAGAGGATTGGTCTAGCTCTAATTACATCAACTAGGATCAACCTTAGCCAGAACTAGAGGGGCACTATAGGAGGCTCTAAAATTTGTGTGTTCAATAAAGCAAAAAACCCTAGTATATATAGGTTGGAGGGAAGTGGAGAGGGCAACCACCAAGGAGGGAAGGTCCCTCCTCGGGGAGCCGGCCAAGGGAGGGGAAGAGGAGTCCTCCCCCTTCTCCAATTCGACCTCCTTCCATTTTGCAAAGGGGGCGCCTCCCCCACTTGGCCCTTGTTGGCCCAAGTTGCCTTCCACCACTTGGACTTTTTAGGCCTGTTGATATTAAATTAAATATAAAAGCATTCTAAATATTTCTAGACCCTTTTATGTATAATTTAACGGCCTCGGAAACATTTTCCTCCTATATATTATTTATCGGTAATATACCCGGCACTCTTCGAAACCCTCCCGGTGACCCCAAAACGCATATGGATCCTCTTGAAACTATTCCGAATATTAATGAAACAATTCATAAATATGCTCGCATCACTCCCATCCTACTAACACTATGCAGATTGCGATTTCCGTAAGCTTGTGACCCCTTAGGTTCGGTACGTCATAGACCTGAACGAAACTCTTTCGTTCGATGAACGATAGCGGAACCCGTGAACGTCCATATCTATTCGTAAGCGCACAAAACTGACATTAGAGTGAAAATTTGGTTACCACGTGATGTTCCCTTTGCTTCGCGATTCTTCACAAACCCGAAATGCATCGATATCTTCTGAGTCATCACGTGCTCACTAGACCATTATCCCCGTTACCTGTTTTGTTCTTTCTCATTATCGTGTTCCGGCATCCGCGTGACATAGTCACCTGTGTCTGGCCAGGCGATGATGGATCCCGTAAAACCGAGAAGGCTCTAAGAAATATCTCTCTATCGCCGGAGAAGCAAATCCAATTTTGAGCTATCTAGTCCCTTGTCAATCTTTTCGATGAGCATGTAAGTTGTCTTTATGATCACCGTGTTACAAGTGACGTTTGTGCAATCCTAAAGTCCATCGTACGGTCAAAAGCGACTATGATACTTTCATGGTCTAAGGAGCAAAATCACACACTAACACTCCGTGTTATTATAATTGATTGCAGGCGATATTAACTCAATTCATAAGAGACAAGATTGGGTCGATTCAATATGATCATTCTTCTAACGTCATAATCTCAATATTGTTTTAGGACTATAGTTACACTTAACAATATCGTAAGATCCAAAAATATGATCACCAACAACACTTGAGCTAGTCCTAGAGGTAAGACTAGGAACCTTATTAAACTGTTTATCACTCCACACGTGTATATGAGTTTTTCACTATATCGCATATTCAGGATCATAGCAGTTATAGCATAAATATAAACTCTTTAGTTATGAATATGGAAATATAAAAATACAAATATTATTGCCTCTAGGACATATTTTCAACAGTGTATTCCTAGTATTCTTCTCTAGTTTCAATGTCTTCGACTTTACCAGAAATAAATCATAGAATAAGTAGAAGTTCTAACACAGAGTTTGTAGTGGTGAAAATCTATCAAGGGACTAAGGTGATGTGGTAATGTAGTAGGGGCTGTAGGTTATGGGGCCAGCTCCTAAATGGCACAAATAAATGTTTGCGGCTTGCTTCTTGCTCGAGCGCTTGAAATAACCTACTTAGTGTCAACATATAGCTACGTTGGGTTTTGTAGTTCTGTATAATTACCACGCATTATGTAACCGCGCCCATTGTATGTTCGCAAAGCAACCATAGAATATGTAGTCAGTTTTCCATATTTTATTTTGAGATAGGTAAAATTACCTTTCAATAGGGAAACGTTGTTATTTGGCTGGTCCGCCGAGGATTGCGCCGGCCGCATACTGACTGTTCCAACAAACTTGATCGAACAAACCACGCACCACACAACCCACGGGAGGCTGCTACAAGCGTCCGGTTTTGTTATGTATACACACGGGCAACGGAATAAACCAGATAAAAACCCATTGTGCTGGCTTCGGTTTTGTTATGTTATACTCCAAATTGAAGTATAAAGAGAAAGGCTAACTTCTGAAGAGCGAGCGGAGCGACGCCCGTCGCCAGTAGGCTTGGGCCGAATCATGGTACGTATCAGTATTGATCTAGGTCACATGTGTTATATATACCTCTTGTAAGCCGCCGCACGGGATAGTGGATCAGTTGTAAATCCCCGGCATTTGTAACCTCCCCTTTATATTGAAGTTTGGTTGGCTGGCGCCCGTGATTTTTTTCCTTCATCATGGAGGGGTTTTCCACGTTAAAATCTCGTATCCCTTGCTTGTTTTCGTTCTTCATCATGTTTGATTGCGTGTCGTATCTCTAGCATGTTTCACAATCTCTCTCAAATCTCTCTCTCTCTCTCTCTCTCTCTCTCTCTCTCTCTCTCTCTCTCTCTCTCTCTGACACGCTCTCTCTATAGCATCCGCGTGTTCATTTCCCATGGTCGCCGCTAACGATTTTTTGTCATGATCGGCCCCAGTCTCCCATGCAATCGTGGTGCTGCTCACCTCTTTTCTGCCATGGCACCGGGCCCATAGCCATGGCCATGCTCCTCCTCTCCTTACCCGTCGTGGTGCTAGGAGAAGCCTCAATGGTGGATGGCGGGGACGTGCAGCCCCCGAGATGTTGTGACCAGTGCAAGAGGATGGAATTGACTCAGCCTCGAGCTGCAACTGGCTTAGCCGGAGCTACATCCGGCGAGCGGCGGCAACCGAGATGTTGTGAACAGTGACGTCATGCTAAAATGGGCGGCGTGTGATGCTGGAACCGGCTCGGACGCGAGCTGCAACCTCAATGTTTGGATGCTGGAACCTACACCGTCTTGTCTGCAGCCGGCTACGTTGAAGGCTATGGCGAGAGCTGCAAGGTGACATTTTACTACAACGGGCACAATGTCGTGCTACGATTGGCACTGGTGATTTTTTCTTCTGATATTTTTTTGCTGGTACTGGCTAATTCGTTTGCTACAATTGATTATCGTAGTTTTGTGTTACTGAGTGTTTTGTTGGAACGAACTTAAGGTTTGCTTGAACCGGCAAATCTTTTTGCTTCAACCAACTACCGGAGTTTCTTGTTGCTTTAGATTCTTTTTGCTGAACATGATGGTGCAAGTCGACGATGGCGGCGAGCCGGAAACGGGGACGCCATGAATCATGGCGAGTGGAGGCTGCCGAGGTGAGCGCAGTGGCACGTGTGGCCGGCGAGCGCACATGGCAGGTGCGAACGGCCAGCGAGCGCACCAAGTCCGGCATGCGCATAAGCTTTCTTTTTCCCGTGTTTCCTATCTTCTTTTTTCCTGCGTGTGTGGACTTTTTAGCAATTCATCGTACAGTTAAAAAATGCTCCGTTGGACGTAGGCGCAGCGGCCGGCCCAAATTTGGATGCTTGCTTCACATTCACCTCCCTCACTTGGAAGTAAATAAACGGGATTTCCAGGGGCCAAACTGCTAGGGCTCGCAGACTCGCAGGAGTAACGTTAAAACCAAAGCTAGGGATCGATCCCCTTCACTCTCACCCACCTCGTTTCCAACCCAATTGTCCAAACATCCTACCCCTCTGAATCGCGGTCCTGCCATGGCGGCTGCGCGGCCATGGTCCACCCTCCACCTAGACCTTCTCTCCCGTATATTCCTCCTCTTGTCGTGCGTCGCCGACCGCATGAGGGCGTCCGCCGTGAACAAGCACTGGCGCCGGGTCGCGCTGGAGAATCCGTCGCCGCTGCCATGCCTCCTCATGCCGTCCACCGCCAGGACCGAGCTCTATCGAATCTTCGGCGGCTTCGCCGATCCGCGCCCGCCCCTCTACGCCGAGGGCCGTGGGGAGCGTTTCTGCGGCTCGGCTGCGGGCGGCTGGTTCGTGGTCGCATCCCCGCGCTGGCGCGGCCATGCCCTGCTGAACCTCCGCACGGGCGAGCGCGTCCCCCTGCCGGACCGCGTGCGCATCCCCATCGAATCCGGCCACATCACGTGCCCCATGATGATCCGCGCAGCCGCCATGTCCACCGCGCCGCCGTCCGGCACCTGCTTCGTCGCCGCCATGACGTCCAGCCAGACCAACATGGCGTTCTGGCGCCCGGGTATGGACCGCTGGTTGTCGGCGCCGGTGGGGAGGGCGCCGCCGGAACCGCGCTACGCCCAGGACCTGACTTTCCACGACGGCTGGTTCTGCGTCGTGGACTCAGATGATGACCTCTTCTGCTACAAGGCAGAAATCGCCCCTGCTGTAGCTGGAGACGGCGGCTCTTCGCTTACTATTCATCGTATCGCTTACAAGATCCGTCGTCACCCCTTGATGGCCACGACGGAACCCGGGGAGATCGTCTCTCGCTACGTCCTGCCCTCCGCCTCCGGTGCCGACCTGCTCATGGTGTGGAGGTTCGTCTCGACGGCGAGGGGGGGCACGTGGCGGTTCCAAGTCTTCAGGCTACAGAAGGCACAGGAGGGATTGCCGGCTTGCTGGCGCTTGCACAAGATGAGCGGGCAGGTGCTCTTCGTCGGCCGGGCCTGCTCCAAGGCCTTCGACATGGGGCACGCCCGCAGCCCGGGCTACATCTACTTCCTCGACGACGTGTACCCTGGTGGTCCGCACAGAGTCCTCGAGCAGAACCAGTATCCCTGCGCCGATGCCGGCGGGTGGCGTTACTCAGTCCCCGATGACATTGAGATCGAGCGTTGCCTGCCATCGGCGCCCCCCTCCGACACCTCGCCGTGCATTTGGTACCACCATCAATGAATTCAGCTATATATACCCAGCCGCAGGTTCAGTTTGAGGCAGCACATTGATCATATATAGAGATTTCCATCAGTTCATTAAATAGAGTCTTGGTCATTAGTCTTTGCTCCTGCTGGTCAATGTTTCTTTGTTGTTGTAGTTCGTGGATGGTTGTTGTTGTAAGCATATGGTTGTAAGATGGGAAATTGAATGTTCCATATCCAGTTTGTTGTGTTTGTTCTCAATTTGAAGGCTGTTTTGGAACTCATTTCATCTATATGAAATTGCGAACTATTTAGACTCCATGCTACCAGCTACCTATATATGTTGTTTGAATTATTTGTATCATTTTCTGGCGTAAATTCTACTTCAGATTTTAATATTTTCCGCACTATTTTCAGTAGTGCACACAATTTCTGACTGTATCGTATGATTGCATCTGTCAGTGGCAGAGGTGTTTCATGTCTCCTTTGTTTGCATAACACGTAAGAACCAGCGCAGGTTGATCAGATGATCTGCAACTGAATATTTGATGTTTGTTCATGTATAGAGATCAACAAGTACTGATTATATAGTCTTCGTCATTTGTCTACTGATTATATAGGTGTTTTAGACTGCGTGCTTATATATGTCGTTTGAATTGCATATTGATTTCTGTTGTAGATTCTAGTTTAGTTTATGATGTTTTCCGCCGTATTTCCAGTAGGGCACACAATTTTTGATTGTATCGCATGATTCTGTCTGTCAGTGGCAGAGGTGTTTTTCATGTCTCCCTTGTTTGCATTACACGTAAGAACCAGCGCCGGTTGATGAGATGATCTGCAATAGAATATTTGATGTCCGTTCAGGTATAGAGATCAACTAGTATTGATTGTCAAATGTGGCCGGCGAGTTGCGCGCCCGTCGGGTCTTCTTCGCCCGGGGGAGCTTTAGTCAAGAGGGCGGCGTCGTGTCTGTCTCCAGTGCGGTGGTGCGCGGTGGAGAACTTGGGGAGAGGCGGAGCATGGTCATGAGGTGAGGGGCAGCGGTCATCTGGGCGCGCTGGCTCGGGAGTCGGAGGTAGCGCCGCGGCGGAACCCCGGAGGCAGTGGATCTCGGCTAGGAGGTACGGTGGCAAGGAGCAGCGGTTGCGACTCGTTGCAAAGGCCGGGGCATGCGGTCCGCCTCTCGTTCTTGTTCGCATGGGGGCGGAAGGCGGCGCCTTGTGGAGTTTGGAGGCTGAATGGTCTGGATCTCAGCGCTCGGCCCATTGACTCGTGACACGGAGCGCCATGGTCGATGTCTGCGTGTGGGGGGAGAAGTGCGTTGGCCTCCTGCGTATGATTCCTCGGATGCAGCTACGGCATGGCTCACTGCCAGGAGTGACGTTTCTAGCCCTTGCCGGCGGTGTGAGTGGATGATGGTGGTGTTGGTTTGGAGCTTGTCTTCTTCGACCATGCAGTAGTTGGATGTTAGTCTGCGTGCTCTGGGCCGTGAGATGGGTCGCTGTTCCATGACAGCTTGATGATGACGGCGAGGTGCTGCGCCAGCGGCGATGTACCCCCCGCATCGACTGATTGGCCATATCCAGTGGTAGGATGCGAGGTGTGCGACGTTTTGGATGAAAATCCTGCTCGTCTTCATCCAAGGTGGCGACGATGGCGCCTATGGGTATCGTTTCCCTCCTTGGAGGCATCGTCGTGGTGTGTTGGCATCTCCCCTCCTTGATCGGGTTGAGGTCTCCGGGCAAAAGCCTCGATCTGTTGTAGGACCGGCGATGGGCGACATTTGACGGCATTGCTCTGTTGAGAGCATCGCAGGAAAAGGCTTGGCTTGGAGGTCCTGTTATGTGGTTCTCTAGTGTTTGCCATTGGTCAGGGTTGATCTTCGTGGGCGCTATGTACACAGTTGCCGGTGCTCCACAATGATGGCTTTTTCATGTTCGACCGAGTCCCACTATCCACTCGTCGTGTCCTCTTTGGCATTCATGGGTAGGTAGTGCATTGGCGAAGATTGGTCGGCTGAAGTCGTTGCTCTTCGTGGTGTTCGGCATTTTTTGTGACGCGGCTAGATGCTTGGTTTAGGGCAGGCCCTATGGGTTGTGTTTGTAATTTTTCTGGTGGCTAATCTGTTGATTAGCTCGGGTGTGGAGTTTTTGCTACATTTGTTGTTCGCAACCTGTTGTCGTGTCTAGTAATTCAACTTCTGCCTTCTATAAAAACGTGGTATGCCTAGGTGTATTCTTGAAAAAATAAACTTCTGAGCTGATTGTTTGATGTATTTTAGCGGCATATACTTATTAATTAAATTGTTCATCTCGTTGTCGTTGAAACTGAAAGTTCCATAATCAGTTTGTTGTATCCCCTTAATTTGAAGGATTTTTCAAACACAGTTCATCTATGAAATTGTGAAGTATTTAGACTGCTATTAGCTACCTATACATAGGTTGTTTGATTTTGATATGCTTCTCATTTTTTTCTGGCTTCCTAGTATGATTTTCTGCTGTAAAGTCTAATTCAAATATTTATATTTTCTGCCATATTTCAGTAGTGCACACAATTTCTGATTGTATCGTATGATTATTGCATCTGTCAGTGGCTAGGTGTTTTTCATGTCTCTCCTGTTTGTATTGAGATGAGATGATCTGCAACTGAGTATTTGATGTGTATTTATGTATACAACTAGTACTGAATGAATGTTGAAGACTCTAGTGTTTGCCAGACCCTTGTTCACTTTTCAGCTGAATCTTTGATGTGTTTTAGCGGCATATACTTATTATATGTTTCCCATTTATGCCACTGAGGAAACCACACTTCTTTGAATACAAGATAATAAATGGGCACACAACAGCCAGTCTAATGTTGTGCTGGACAACGCTAATAAAAGTTATGATACTAAATTGGATTTCATTATCAAGCCGTTATATCTAAGCTCTACAGGGTATGTTTACTATGCCCTCATAGTGCCGTTAATTGTATCTAGGAAGAGCATATATACATAGCCAGACAGACAGAGCCAAACCAAATGGGGCAGGTTGGTTCACTTTCCGGAGAATATTTCCCATGTTCATATATAACCAATTACCTTTTTTATTTTATCTTATAACATGAAAATATAAGGTTATTTTTCCATTGATTTGTAATCCGCAAGAGCACCGAAACGAAAGAAGGGGTCCAAGGATGAACGTAGGCTAAAGTTTATGTTTTGTTGTTAGTAGTGTTTAAATGATCATTGATGCATCGACTTGTATAATCTCCTAAGCTAGCAATGTCATGGGTGGAGCTTCAGTGACATGATTTAATTTTGCCTCATATATCTTCTAATCCTCCAATCCAGGATGGGGAGCCAACACCATGTAATTCCACTATTGCTTTATCTATTTGACGAAGGCGTGCGAACAAAGATAAAAGTCATGGAGCATAGTGCAATTCAATGAAGGAAAGCTAGATGGTTCATATTCACTGCAAACCAACTTATATATGTGTCGTGTTGCTGCTAAGGGGATTTACATCACTTCTACTGGCACAACATCAGTGCGATCCCACGCGGAGTACCGTTGGGATTAATAATTATGCTATGTCGGAACTGTCCTGGTGTTGGTGATGCCTTGAAAATTCATGAATTTCACGATCTTGCGAAGGCTTTTGCATGTCAGGCCATTGTATTGTGGAAACTCAGATTGCACTTAATCGAGTGGCCGGTTTGGCTGGTACACTTGGTTTTTATATGAGCTTTTGCGTTGCCAGTAGTGGTCGTAGAGGGCTGGCTTTGTAGAAAAATTTGGGAAGATTGATATTAACATGGAAATAAAAAAAACCACGAAATGTAGTAGAAGTAATACTATAGTTGTAGTTTAATAGGAGGAAACGAATGGAACCGGCGGGCAGGTGCACCCATTTTGATTTGTCTTTTAGTAATTCCATGAGTGGTCAAAAAATCATGATTTATTTTGGCAACAAACTTTCTCAAGCATTACAATTGCGAAGATCAATTTGCAAAGAACTGACTTTTGTGATATTGTTGACGAAAAATATAAAATCAACACTATATTAGAGGTACTACAAAATCTATATTGTCCTGGGATTTTTTTTATTTTGGCTCAGTTTTTTGCGTGAGTTTTTCTTTGTCAAATTTTTTATACGAGTACCGCAGTTGGTCAAGTATGTTTAAAAAAGCTTCGAACTTTTTGACTCTTCTCCAAATCAGGTTCATCTACAACCAGGTGCATCAGGTTATTTTCCTAGTATATTACTCCCTCCGTTCCATAATGTAGTTCGTATAGATATTTTTCAAAAGTCAAACCATATTGTAAACTTTGACCATATTTATATAGAAAAATATTTATATTTAGAATACCAAACGCATATCATAAAGACATATGAGCTATGCCATATTGTATATATTATTGTAGATATAGACAGTTTTCTCTAAGAACTTGGTCAAAGTTTATTTAGTTTGACTCAGAAAATCTAAGAGCACTACATTATTAACAGAGGTGCATGTATGGATTGTGATCTTTTTATACTGCTGCATGTCTTTAATGGTGTTGGATTTCTATACGCTTCTCATTTTCCTGGCTCGTAGTTAGGTTTAAGATTTTATGCCGTACATTATACTTGAGAATTCGAGATCCATTTAGAGATGAAATAGTATCTCCAGTAGTGCACAGAATTTTCGAGTATATTCCATGCTTGTGTCTATCGGCGCCAGAGGCATTTTGCATGTTTCCCATGCATGGTTGCGCGTAAGAACCAGCAGAATAGATGATCTGCATCTGAATATTTGGCTTGTATTTACACATACAGTAAATAACGACCGCTGACTGTATATATAGTAGATTCCCTCATTTACTTGTTAATATGTTTCCATTGTGATTATGTTATTATGTTTTTATTTTGTTATTGTGGCTTCCAATAGTTTATAGTCACTAATGCAGAACCGGGCAATAGCACCGGTTCGTAAGGCCCTTTAGTGCCGGTTCCATAACCGGCACTAAAGTGTG